TGGGACGAAGAGGACCTGTGCCCAGGGCCGCGGGTTAGGACCACGTCAAGATGTCATCACCAAGCCCAGGCCCAACTGCCCACCACTGGAAAGGTCAGTCCTTGAGAGGCCGCTGGTGTGAGGGACGTGGTTTTCTTCAGGGGCTGGCCGCCTGGAAGGTGGGGACTCTCGTCGCAAAGCCCGTCTCCCCATCTCACTGCAGGCAGGGGGGCTTCCGAGGGGCAGGAGGGACAAGGAGAATAGAGAGGTCGGGGGAGAGAGCCTGTGCAAGTGCTGCAGTGTCCTTGCTGGCCCCGATGTGGGTCTTCAACGTCCGCGTCCTGGAACCGTTGGGTGCCAGCCAGAGTCCTGCAGGTGGGCGGCCGCGTCGGCCAAAGCTGTGGTCAAGACCATTTTTGTACAAGCAGGAACTGGAACTGCTGGCGCTTGCAACGTGTTTACAAAGAAACTGTCAGCCTGTGAGTTCTTTTTATTAGTTTGCTAGGACATTTTATTCTAATTCCACGTCATGGTAAGTCAGAGTAGCATTCCGTTTTTATTCCCTGTTACAGTATATCATTGTGACAGGAGACAACACTGAAGATAAAGGGGAGACGCTCAGTGCTTCCACAGAGAACAGATCACACACAAACCACCGGGAATTAGAGTGGCTCCGGAGTTTTCAACTGCAGCCTTGGGAGCTGACAGCAAAAAAATTTATGACTTCACAAATCTTGAAGGGAAAGTACTTCCAACCTAGAATTCTATACCTTGCCCAACTATCGATTGGAATGAGAGCAGAATAAACACATTTCAGGCACGGACCCTTCCCAGGAAGCTACTAGAGGGCTGACTGCAGCAAAGGGAGAGAGTAAACCAAGAAGGGGAGACAGTGCAGACCCCAGGAAGCAGGGGCTCCATTACAGGAGAAAAGCAAAGAGATCCACAAGGCTGACCACATAGGAAAGCTCGAGATGACAGCTGTGCAGGGGCTTTGAAAGCAATCAGTCAGGACCAGGACAGGGGGACAGAGGGCTCTGGCACAGAGGTCTCCAGGACGAAACAGGGTGTGTCTGAGCCTCTGGAAAATGTTACCGATAGGCTTGTAGCAAAGATGTTAGAGCCTTGGGGGAAAATTGGCTATGGGTCAGTAAACTCTAAGTATAAGAAAACTCTTAAGGAAAAATAAATACTGGAGAAGTATTAAGAGAAAAAAGAAAATATTGTGCAAGAACGGAGGCTTTTTGCAATAACAGGAAGCAGCCAGCACTCAAGGAAACGTACCGGGGAAGTTGATGTAATCCTAAAGGTTAGGGAAGTCACGTGGCCATTCAGTGGGGAGGGGAAGGGGTTGTTTGGAGACCAAGTTCTCATTGACCTTACCTGGAAGTCCAAAGAAATGCCTAAATAGACAACTAGCAGCCTCTGGTTTAGCAACAAGGTTCCTGTCACGGGAAAAGCTATAACTTTCAAGTATCTGCCTCCGTGGAATACACAAAGGGCGGTGACTTTTACTCTGTCCCCCGTTCTGCGCGAATTAAAGCCGTGTACTGCCGTTACTTTGACTTTAACACAAATTACATCAAAAGAGTTGGCTCCGACCACGCTTCGTCTCTCCGTCCCCGAGGTCAAACCAACGTCGCTGCGAACAGATGCCCAGGTCCCCGCAGCCTCCGTCTCCCCGGTAACGGAACGCGTCTCCAAACCCAGTAGCGCCACGTAGGATCTGGAGATGGCGACGCGCCTCGCACACTTACGCACTTCCGGCGCAGGTTCCGCCCCGGAGCGGAGGGGCATGGTCCCCAGTCCGCGCGCCGCCAGGAGCCGAGTCCGGCCCCGTGTGTGTCCGGCCCTCAGTGACCCGGGGCGCCAGTGTCCCTGCGCGCACCCAAGGAGCCCTGTCCCTTCCCGTGCGGTTGCATGCCGCTCGGCCCCCGCGCCCGAGTGTGATGACAGGTCCGTGCGGCTGCCGCAGTCCGCACCCCTCTGACGACTGGATCCCACGTCGTCCGACGCGAACGCGCCCTGCGTCCGCGGCGGCGCAGACCCAAGCTGGAGCCCCCGCTTTTCCCGGGGAAGCAGGCCTTCCCATCTCTGCGGGGCCAGGGTTCCATCACGCCGGCCCTGCCGCGGCGCCCCCAGCAGCTGTCTGCGTCAGGGCCGCCGCGGGGCCTCCTGGGAGTTGAGGTTCAGGTCCGCCCCTGCTCTTGGCGCTCGCGGGCTGCTGACTACAACTCCCGGCAGGCCTTGCGGCGGCCCCAAGAGCCCGAGCGCTCGCTGGGGGCTTCCACATCCTTGGCCGGTGGGCTGGGGTGCGGCGGTCTGGCTGGCTGTGGCGGGGCAGCCGAGAGGCTGCAGGGCTGCCGGCCGCCTTGCTAACAGACGCGGCGCTTCTCAGGCCCCGGGAGTCCCTGCGACAAGCGGGCGGGACGCAAACTTGCGAGCAAGTGTAGGGGCCAACGGTGGTCGTACTGGGGCCGGGGCCGGGGATCTGGCAGCCGCCGGGGGCCTGCGCGGCTTCCCGAGGAAGTGTGATGGAATGACACGGGGCGGGGCGGCCCCGGGCGGCAGAGGCGGGGGACACCTTGGGGGTGGGCGCGCGACCCTGTCCTGTCCTGGCTCCTTGTGTCCCGGCTTCCCCCGCGGGCCAGTGCTCTTGGCCAGCACGCAGCGCGGGGCCCTGACGTCTGCGGGGCCAGGGCCGCCTGTCCTCCGGCTGCACTCCAGGCGGCCCTAGACCCCAGGGATCCCTGCGGGGCAAGAGGCAGGCTCCTGGGGCGGCTCTAGGTGTCGTGGGCGCCTGCCCGGGCATGGGCATACAGTCAGGTTAGCTCTGCCCGCGCGATCCCGTCGGAGGTGCTAACTGCGTGTCTCCCTGCTGCCACAGGGTCGTGGCGTGCGCCGGTGGCCAAGCTCAGTGCCGGTGCCCAGCTCTCAAGGCGTCAGGGCTGCGGGGGGACTGGACGGCCAGACAGGTGAGCTCTTGAAGGGCCTGCGGTGTGGTCGTTGAGGTTCGGCGCTCTCATTCCGTCTGGCGCCTGTCGAGAGGTTTTGCTTGCTTTCACCTGTGTGTGGTGGGGTGGAGAGTTAATTGTGCCTCTCTCCCTCCGAGTTCGGAACTGGTTGAAGTAAACAAAGTCGCGAGACCGACTCCTGGCGGGCACCAGCGGGGCTGGGGATCAGGCAGCCTAAGTAAGAGCAAGCCCTGGCAAACCTTGTCTTTCCTGGCAGGTCCCCTGTCGCCATTCCTGTGACCTAAATGTCACAATCCCACCCACGACGGGCTGGTACAGGGGTTGGAGTGTGACCCTCCAGTCTGTAGGGTGCCCGAGGGTCTCCCCTGGGGCAGTGACCACCCTGCACGTCCTTTGGGCCACCCGACCCGCAGGTTTCAGGCAGGGCCAAGTGCGCTCTCCTGAGCTCTGCCTCAGGGCTTCACCCTACCCCCTCCTCGAGAATGTCCACATCACTCTTCGCCAGGGCTGCCACATGACGGGAGCCTGCTGACGGTCCCCTGGGGGTGCCGAGTCCAGCAGCAGCAGGCCCTTGCGGGGCCGGGGGGCTGCCTCTGTCGCCCCCAGTCTCCTCTCCACACAACTTTTTCCCTCTGAATAAAGGCACTTTGCCAACTTTTTAGCCGAATATGATTTAATCTTTGTGGCGCTGAAGTTTTTCCAATAAAACACCGACAAGCAGGGGGCACCGTGCCTGCACACTTCCCACGCGGTTCCAAACACGCGGGCGCCCAGGCGGGCGGGCCGGCCGGCCCTGGGAAGAGGGGGACCGGCAGCGCACAGGACGGCCCCGGGGCGGCTCTGGTGCTGGAGATAAACACTGACGGTGTGACGCTGCCTTTTACAGCCACTTCTCCCGGACTTGCCGGCGGGCCACCTGCGGGGTTTGCTGCGCTCGGGGTCCGCGATGGCTGCTGGTTTCCAACAGGGGATCTTGGTGGCTGAGCAAATGTGCGACCCAGGAAACAGCAGCTCGGGGTCTGGGAGGCCGGCGCGCGGCCGGTGCGCGCTCTGAGGTAAGTCCCACTCGGCTGCAGCATGTCGGTCGCACAAGCCCTGCCGCCCTGGCTGCCTCAGAGTCGTTTCGGACGTTTGTAGTCACAGCCGAGGCCGGGGCTCGGTGCCAGCCGGACGCCTGGCCTGTGGGCGCCACGGGGGAGGGGGGCGGGGGGACGGGTGCTGGCACAGCACTGTCTCTGGCAGCGGAAGGAGGCGGTGGCTCTGGATGAGCCCCTGCTGGAATGGGGGCTCTGCTCCCAGCCCCACCTGCTCCTGGCCCTGGTGTGGCCCCCACACACACCCTGGCGGACCTCCCGAGGGGGGTGGCAAGCTCTGACGCCGGGACCTGGTGTCACGTGGAGCCCAGTCGGCCGTGTACTGGGCCCTGGGGAGGACAGCGACAGAGACCGGGCAGGGAGGTGGTGGCTCCCCTCACCCCACGAGGGTCCTAGGGCCCTGGGCCGAGGTGCTTCTGAGCCGGGGCACTGGGGCCGCGTCACCGTGGTGCATGCAGGGGAGCAGCGGGCAGGCGGGCTGGCTCCGGTGACGCCGTGCTGGGTGGTGGTGCCCAGACCTCTGGAGTGGGGTGTGGAAGGCAGGGGACGGGGAGGCTCCCAGGGCACGGGTGCCCCAGAGCAGGATGCTCCTCTGTCCTCCCCTGTGCCCCCCAAGGTGCGTTCGTCTGGGCTAGCAAGGTGGGAGTGGGGTGTGTGTGGCCTGGGGGTCAGCCCTGGGAGGGTGGCAGCTGGCTGGCCCGGGGTTGGAGGCGGACTGCCAGGCTGTGCTAAAAATACCGGGTGTGAGGGCGCCAGACACTGGCCAGAGGCCCTGGTGACCCTGCTGGGCAACCCAGCCCTGCTCTCTGCTCCCCGCCCCGTGTCTGGTTGGAGACAGTCCTACAACAGCAGGTGTGGCTGGCCAGGGGGGCTAAGCTGGGCCCCGGGGTGCGCCGCCCTGCTGTGACCGCCTGGCTGGTGGCCCTGGGCTGGGGTCCTGCTCGCACTCTCCGTGCGGTCGGGTGCCCCCGACAGGGTGGGTCCGCACTGGGCCCGGGCCCTCATGCGTGCGGCTGCCTGGGAAGAGGCCGCTCCGGCAGCTGCGGTTCCAGGTGCATCTGGGCGGGAGGACGGCACAGGTGGGCCTGGCAGACGTCTGCAGCCTGGAGAGGGACAGCACAGGGCTCGGGTCCTGAGGGGCAGGGACGGCACGCTGCTGCCACGGGCCCCTCTAGGCCAGGCCGCTCTGCCGGAGCCAGACACGCGTGACCCTGCTGGCGGGGAGGCACCAAGCAGGACTCCGAGGCCACAGGTGGGTGGCCCGCCATGCCCGCCTGCCCAGGTGGCAGCCCACAGGACCCTGCCCCTTGCCTGCGGCTTGCTGTGGCCAGCAGAGGGTGGACAGCAGGTTACCTGGGTTCTGGGGCCTGTGGCCTGAGCAGGAACGGGGTGGTGGGCAGGGCATGGCCGCTGCCTCTCCTCACTGCCCATCGGCGGCCTCGGCTGGGCCGCCGTGTTCCCCAAGGTGGCCGGGCCCGGGCTAGGGGTGCCACAGGGCCCAGGCCCTGGAGCGATGTGGCTTTCCTCCCCGGGCTGACCTTGCAGGTGCTGGAGGCCGTCTGACTGCAGCTCGGCTGCACCCCAGCGAGCCCCAGGGTCCCCGCTGGCCTCCCACAGGCTGTGCGGCCAGGCTGCCCCGGCCCGGCCTCACGGCCCAGCAGCGGGGGCTGCTGCTGTGCCTCCAGGGGCCGCTCAGCCCTGTCCTGCACGTCCTGCTGGGTTCTGCTCTCCACCGCCTTCCAAGTCCGTCCGCGCTGGTGCGCAGGAGGGTCAGCGGGCGAGGCGAGCCATCTGCGAGGGGAACGGGCGTGCATTTCCGGGTCAGGGGTTATGCCCACCTGGAAGGCCCTGCCGCCGAGGTGGCCCCCTCTGCCACTGGCTCCAGGGCTCCGGGCCCGAGAGTCACTCGCCGCGCTGGTGGCCTTCCTGGGAACTGGGTCAGGTTGGGGCACTCAGCTGTTCCTCCACACGTGCACCTGAGCCTCCCTGCAGCGGCCGCTGGGGGAGTGGGGAGGCTCCTGCTTCCCTGGGGCCAGAGGGGGCGCTGTGCACACACCCGGGGCAGCTGGGCTTCCGGAGATGGCCCGGCAGGGCGGCCGCTGACCTGGGGGGCGTGGGAGGCGCTGTGCGGGTGACCGACCACGTGCGGCAGCGGCCGGGGTAGGGGGGCCTGTCGCAGGGTCTTGCCTGTCTTCCACAGGGGCGTCTGCACTGTGCGCTGGGAGACTGCGCGCCGGTCCCGCCCGGTGTCCCGGCCCCTGCGGTCTCTGTGGGCCTCAGCCAGCAGCCTCTGAGCCTCTGGCCGCCCACCCCACCCCCCCGCCTCAGCTGTGTTGCCCGGGAGCCACGCCCACTGATTCTTAAACGCCCACGACTGGACCTACCAGTGGGCCCTTGCCGAGGGGGCCCCCCGCCAGGTGTGTGCCCTTGGTCCCCAAGATCCACTTTCCTCCCGTGGGGGAGGAAAGTGGATTCCCCCCACCCCTCCGGCGCACAGCAGGGCAGGGTCTCCGAGCAGCTTGGCGGGCCTTTCCACAGAGGTGTCCTCCCCCCCTCCCCCATGGTGCCACCTTCACCATCGGGCTGCCCCTCCCCCCGCTGCCTGGTGGCCAGGGACCTCTCACCCTCTCTAGCGCGCATGCTCACACACTCCTCTCCACCAAGCTCCCTGGGGTGGGGTGGGTGTCCACCCCACTCTCCCCGGCAGCCCCGCCTGGCCTGAGGGCGCCCCCTGCCTGCAGGTCCCCGAGCAGCGCCGCCTACCATGGACCCAGACCCCCAGGCGGGCGTTCAGGTGGGCATGCGCGTGGTGCGCGGCGTGGACTGGAAGTGGGGCCAGCAGGACGGCGGAGAGGGCGGCGTGGGCACGGTGGTGGAGCTCGGCCGCCACGGCAGCCCCTCGACCCCTGACCGCACGGTGGTCGTGCAGTGGGACCACGGCACCCGCACCAACTACCGCGCGGGCTACCAGGGCGCGCACGACCTGCTGCTCTACGACAACGCCCAAATCGGTGCGTGCGCCGGACGGGCGGGGGGCGGGGCGGGGCGCGCCCACCGGCCCCTCACGCTGCCCCGCCCCCAGGCGTGCGGCACCCCAACATCATCTGCGATTGCTGCAAGAAGCATGGGCTGCGGGGCATGCGCTGGAAGTGCCGCGTCTGCGCCGACTACGACCTGTGCACGCAGTGCTACCTGAGCAACAAGCATGACCTCACGCACGCCTTCGAGCGCTACGAGACGGCCCACTCGCGCCCGTGAGTCCCGCCGCCCCGGCAGCCACCCTGCGGCCGCGACTCGCTGGGCCCGGGCGTTGGCACCTGCTGCCGGTCCACCCAGCAGGCCGCAAGGAGTGGTGCTCTGGGGTGGGGTCTCCTGTGCCCTGGCACCGGCCCCAGGTCCAGGCGGGGCTCCCGGGAGCAGGGCACGGAGCGCGGCCTGAGGGTGTGCAGCCAGCATCTGCTGCGGAGGCCCTGGGCCTGGCCGTGGGGGCCCACCCCCAGGCTGGGCTGAGGAGGGGCTGCTGGTCTGGCTGGAAGGCTCCTTGGCTGTGGTCAGGAGGGTGGAGCTGGGGAGGAGGTCGCTGGGTTGGGGTAGGCACCACCCCATCCCCTTGTGTCCTGGTCACTCCCCGCACTGTAGCCAGAGGGGAGCAGGGGTCAGCTCTCTGGGCACCTGTGGCTGGGCCTGTGTTCCTCGTTCCTACATTAATGGTGTGGGGGGGGCCCACACACGGTGGCTGTGCTGTGAGGCTGTGCCCGGGGTGCCCGCCCAGCCCAGCATCGGGGACGGTCTCCTGGAGGGGGACGGTCTCCTGGAGGAGCACGGTCAGCAGGCTCACTCCAGGCCCCGAGTGAGGAGGGCACGGGCCTGCCCGGCCGCCGCCAGGGCCCCGGGCGTGGGGAGCGAGGCTGGGGCGGCCGAGGGCTGTCACGGGGCCATCACGCATGGCCCGGGGTGTGTGGTCTTGCAGGGTCACGCTGAGTCCCCGCCAGGGCCTCCCCAGGACCCCACTGCGGGGCATCTTCCAGGGGGCGAAGGTGGTGCGGGGCCCCGACTGGGAGTGGGGCTCGCAGGACGGTGAGTGGAGGGGGCGGGGCGGGGCGGGAGGGGCGGGGCGGGGCTGGCCCGGGGCTGGGCGGGGCTGGCCCGGGGCGTGTTCTTAGCCTGCCGGCGGGTCCACGCCCCCTCCAGGAGGGGAAGGGAAGCCAGGCCGAGTGGTGGACATTCGTGGCTGGGATGTGGAGACGGGCCGGAGTGTGGCCAGCGTGACGTGGGCTGACGGCACCACCAACGTCTACCGCGTGGGTCACAAGGGCAAGGTGGACCTCAAGTGTGTGGGCGAGGCAGCCGGCGGCTTCTACTACAAGGAGCACCTCCCAAGGCTCGGTAAGGGCTGCCCCCCTGCCCTCCCACCCAGGCTGGACCTGCAGCTGGCCCAGGCGGGCTCTGCAGGGGTGGGGGGGTGCAATGAGGGGAAGGGAGGGTTCGGCCTGAGTGGGGCCCGCCGCCCGCCTCCCGCCTCCAGGCAAGCCGGCGGAGCTGCAGCGCAGGGTGAGTGTGGACGGCCAGCCCTTCCAGCACGGGGACAAGGTGCCGTGCCTGCTGGACACAGACATCCTGAGGGAGCTGCAGGAAGGCCTCAGCGGGCGGAGCCCCAGGATGGCCGAGGTGAGCCGCCCCGCCCACGGGTCCCGCGCCCTCCCTTCCTCCCATCTCAGGGCCTCGGCCACAGGCCCCAGGACTCGCCCCGGTTTGTCGGACGGAAGGGCACCTTGCACGGCACCACGGATTGTGGGGACATGCCGTGTGGTTCAGCCAGGAGACCTGCAGGCCTCCCCAACGGGCACTCGTCGGGGTGCCTGGGCCGAGGCCCTGTCCTCTCTCTTCTGCATCCCCTCTCTGTGCGGCCCTGAGGGGGGAGCAGGGGGCCTGGGGGCGGTCCGGGTGGGGAAGGACGCAGGCCGGGGGGCCACTGGGAGCCGCGGGGGCGGGGCAGGTGGGCGCGGTGTCTCTTCGGCACCAAAGGAAGCCACTGGTGGGCTCACCTCTGAAACGCCGCGGGGGCGCTGTGTGGGGCGTCTGTGGGGGTGGGAAGGCCCGTCAGCACAGAGGCTGATGCTCGGCGCTGGGTTGGGAAGAGGAAGGGGAGAAGGGGTTCGTGGGGGGTGGGCAGTGGAGGTGGTGGGGGCCCTGGGACGGAGCGGTGCCTGGGAGAGGACACGCCATCACTCAGCTCGGGACCCGGAGTCCGGGGACCCCGGGAGCCTTCAGGGAGGGTGTGTGTGGGGTCACGAAACAGGTGGTCCGTGGAGGGAGTCCTGCGCCTGCCGGAGAGGCCTCAGGTGTGGGGGAAGTTACCAGGGAAGGCTCGGGGGTGGGGGTGAGGCCCCTTGACCCGGCCCCCACGCTCTCCTCAGTCATGCTGGGGCCACACCCCCAGCGCCCTCTGAGCCCGGCCTCGGCCCTGCCGCCTGCTCCCCCGCCTGGGTGCAGGGGCCGGCTCGCCCTGGGCTGCACCTGGGCCGGAGAGGTTTCTGTCTGCTCCGGCACCGCCGCCCGCACCCTCTCCAGCCACCGCCCCACGGCACTGAGGCGGAGCCACCGGGGCGTCCTGGTCACCTGTGGCCCTCCTCACACCAGACCCTCTGGCAGCGACTTTGGCCAGGCCTCCCCGCCCCGAGGCGCCCGGTTGGGGCACCCCTGCCCGAGGACCCTGGGCGGCCACGCTGGCCTGGGGGCCCCTCACAGGCGCCCCTCTCTCTCAGCACAACTCCTTCCGGGCGGGCGACGTGGTGCGGGTCATCGACGGCCTCGACACGGTGAAGCAACTGCAGGCCGGCCACAGCGAGTGGACGGAAGACATGGCGCACGTGAGGCCCCCCGCGGCCCCCACCCTGTCCTTCCCGGCAGGGAGGCCTGCCCGTGACCCTGCCCTCTCCGCAGGCCCTGGGCCGCGTGGGGAAGGTGGTGAAGGTGTTCGGAGACGGGAACCTGCGCGTGGCGGTCGGCGCTCAGCTGTGGACCTTCAGCCCCTCCTGCCTGGTGGCCTACCGGCCCGAGGGCGACTGCAACCTGGACGTGGCCGAGCGCACCCGGGAGCACAAAAGTGCGGGCACCTGGTGGCGGTGGCGGTGGGCGGCGGGGCCGCCCGGGGCCGCCCTGAACCTCGGCCTCTCGCCCCAGGCTCCCTGAGCGCCGCCCTGGACAAGCTGCGCGCCCAGAAGAGCGACCCGGAGCGCCCGGGGAGGCTGGTGGCGGAGGTGGCCCTGGGCAGCCGGGCCCGGGCCCTGGACCTGCTTCGGAGGCACCCTGAGCAGGCACGCTCCCCAGCCCACCCGGCGCCCGCCCTGAGACCCCGAGACCCCGGCCGGCCCGTGGCGGGGGCGGGGCCTGGGAACTGACCTGCTGGCGCTCCCGGCAGGTGGACACCAAGAACCAGGGCAGGACCGCCCTGCAGGTGGCTGCCTACCTGGGCCAGGTGGAGCTGGTGCGTCTGCTGCTGCAGGCCCGGGCGGCCGCGGACCTGCCGGACGAGGAGGGCAGCACGGCTCTGCACTACGCGGCGCTGGGGTGAGGCCCGGGCGGGGGCCCCGGGGGCCGGGCCTGCGGTTCCCCGGGCAGCGGGCAGCACACCCTCCCGCCTCTCCCGTCAGGAACCAGCCCGAGGCCGCCCGAGTGCTCCTGACCGCGGGGTGCCGCCCCAACGCCCTCAACGGCGCCCGGACCACCGCGCTGCACGTGGCCGTGCAGAGGGGCTTCCTGGAGGTGGTGAAGGTCCTGTGCGAGCTGGGCTGCGACGTGAACCTGCCCGTGAGTGCCGGCCCCCCGGCCCTGCCCCCCGGGCCCAGGAGGCCTGCCGCCGAGTGACCGCTGGCCCGTCCCTGACAGGACGCCCAAGGGAACACGCCGCTGCACTGCGCCATCTCCGCGGGTGCTGGTGCCCGGGGCATCGTGGAGCTCCTCACCCAGGTGCCAGGCATCAACCTCACCGCCACCAACAGCCAGGGCTTCACCTTGCTGCACCATGCGTCCCTCAAGGGCCACACGCTGTGAGTTTGGGGCGGGCACAGGGCCAGGAGCCGGGCTGCGGCCGTCCCCCCCCCCCCGAGGCCGCCCGCCCCAGACGCACCTCCCCGCTTCCCAGGGCCGTCAGGAGGATTCTGGCCGGGGCGCGGCAGCTGGTGGACGCCAAGAAGGACGACGGCTTCACAGCGTTGCACCTGGCCGCCCTCAACAACCACCGGGAGGTGGCACAGATTCTTATCCAAGAGGTGAGCACACGGGCTGCCCTGCTGGCAGGGGGCCGGGGCCGGGGCCTGTCAGCATCTCTGGGCTGACCCTGCGCCCCCACCCCCCGCCCCAGGGCCGCTGTGACGTGAGCGCCCAGAACCGCAAGCTGCAGTCCCCGCTGCACCTGGCCGTGCAGCGGGCCCACGTGGGGCTGGTGCCACTGCTGGTGGACGCCGGCTGCAGCGTCAACGCCGAGGACGAGGACGGGGACACGGCCCTGCACGTGGCACTGCAGCGTCACCACCTGTCGCCCCTGGTGGCTGATGGGGCCGGGGGGGACCCGGGGCCTTTGCAGATTCTGTCCAGGGTGAGGACGTGCGTGTGGCCGCAGGCTCCAGGCAGGACCCGAGGGACCGCCCCCCTCGGCTGTGGGTGACCCCTGGGAGCCAGGCCCTCTGGAGGGGTGGGGCAGCCCCACACCATGGCCCTCAGCCCCTCCCTCCGCCTCCATTCCCTGGTCTCAGAGGGGCGTTGGGGCCTGGGGGCACCGGTGCCCCAGAGGCTCCCTCCGGCCAGCAGGCCCCCAGGCCAGGCCCTCACCTGCCTCTGCCTGCCTCCCAGCTGCAGGCCTCGGGGCTCCCCGCCAGCGTGGAGCTGACGGTGGGCGTGGCAGTCGCCTGCTTCCTGGCGCTGGAGGGCGCGGATGTGAACTACACCAATCACCGCGGCCGGAGCCCGCTGGACTTGGCCGCCGAGGGCCGCGTGCTCAAGGCCCTGCAGAGCTGCGCTCAGCGCTTCCGGTGAGCCTGGGTTGGTGGGGAGTGGGGGTCGGCGCCCCGCGCCCGGGCCCCCTCAAGCCCTCTCCTTCTCCAACTGCAGGGAGCGGCAGGCGGGCGGGGGCCCGCCTCCGGGCCCCAGGCTGGTGCTCAGCATCCCTAACACGGTGACGAACCTGCATGTGGCGGCGCCGTCGGGGCCCGAGGCGGCAGAGTGCCTGGTGTGCTCGGAGCTGGCGCTGCTGGTGCTGTTCTTGCCGTGCCAGCACCGTACGGTGTGCGAGGGTGAGTGGGGGAGGACGGCGAGGATCCGGGTCCCTGGGGGTCCAGCGCGGCCACACCCAGCTTCCTGCTCCCCTCCCCCCCGCAGAGTGCGCGCGCAGGATGAAGAAGTGCATCAGGTGCCAGGTGGTCATCAGCAAGAAGCTGCGACCCGGTGGGTTAGGGCTGGATGGGAGGGGTGGGTCTCGCACCGGCCCCTCCCCCACGCCCCCGCGTCCGCACCCCCTGGCGGCCAGCGCCTGACCCGGACCCGCCCGCAGACGGCACGGAGGTGGCCAGCGCGGTCCCCGCGCCCGGCCCGCCGAGGCAGCTGGTGGAGGAGCTGCAGAGCCGCTACCGGCAGATGGAGGAGCGCATCACCTGCCCCATCTGCATCGACAGCCACATCCGCCTCGTGTTCCAGTGCGGCCACGGCGCCTGCGCGCCCTGCGGCGCGGCGCTCAGCGCCTGCCCCATCTGCCGCCAGCCCATCCGCGACCGCATCCAGATCTTCGTCTAGCCGCGCCCCTCGCTCTCCGCAGCCACGTTCGCGTCACCCTCCGGAGCCCCACCCCCCGTGTTTTATAAAAAGATTCACGCACTTTTCTGCCTGGTGCCTGCTTAAGGGGCGTGGGTCTCAGGCCCTGGCGAGCCTCGGTGCCCGCGTCCTGCCCACCACGCCGCCGCCGCCGGCCCATTCAGCTGCCGCACCGGCCCAGCTGTTGGCCTTGCTTGGCGGCCAGACGCCCCGCCCCCTCCCGACCCGGTATCCTGCCTTTCCCAGGGCTTCTGGGTCCAGACACCGCCTCTGGGCCAGAAACGTCCTCCCGGCACAGGCAGCCTCCTGCGACCCGGGAGCCCCCCGCCGCCCCTCCACTTCTCTCCCCAGCGGGCTGTGGAGACAGGCTTGGACCAAAGTGGTGCCTGGTTCTCGCTGCGGGTTCCGGGGCCGCGGGGAAGTGGGGTGGGGGTGGGGTGCGGCGGCGTCGGTTGTAGGCCAGGGACCCTCCTCAGGGTCTCAAGGACTGGGGGGAGGGCAGGCGTGCTGGGCAAGTATTCAGCCGCGAAGACTGGGGCGCTGTCCCTGCTGCGCCCCGCGTCGGCGCTTTCCAAGAACCACCCGAAATGCTCCCCCGGAGCCTCGCGGCGGCTGGCCAGGCACTTGGCGCTGACCCCGCTGGCCCAGCGCACCACTGTCATTCTGGGCTCAAGGCCTGGATGGGGAGCGGGGAGGGCCAGGACCCTTGGCCTTGCACTGACTGCCCCACACCCCCCTCCAGCCCTCGGATCCCGGTCCCCCCAGCCCAGAGGCGCCCTTGCCAACATCCCGCCTGTCGTCCCCCCCCCCCATCCTGGTACAGTCTGGACGCCACCCTCGGGCGCTCCGGCCTCAGGACACCGCCCCCCACCTCCCACCCAGGACCACTCCAGACGCGGGCCGCGTGCCCGGCTCCGCCGCAAGGGAGCCGAGTCAGGGATTCCTGGCTCCCTGCAGATCCTGTCCCTGGGCGCCTTCCCCCCACACCCGCCACCGGGTCCCTCCTCTTGCCTCTTCCAGCTCTCCGTGGGACCCCTGCCGGTCCCCCTCCCTCCTGGCGCCGTCCCCAAGCCGCCTACCCCGCCTCTTCCCGCTGAGCCGCCTGTACTCACTTGCCACGTCCCCTCCCTCAGCGTCCCCGCCCCTCCCCCAGGACCCTGCCGGGCTGTGCCAGGGGACCTATCCTGGACTGGCCCGGATGGAGGTCCTCCCCAGGAGTCTCGTTCAGTGTCCCGGGAGTTGGGGGCGGTCCGTTGAGGGGAAGGCCATTCAGCCCGCCAGTTTCGGACCCCAACTGACCATCTTTGCCTGACCTTGAACCCCTGGCGTCTGCCCTTTCTTGCTGGCCGGGTACCGCCTTGCCCCCACCTCCCGCGGTAGTGGCTCCACCCGACAGGCCCTGCCCAGGCCACTGCCACCGACCCGCAGGCCTGCCCGGGGTCCCCCTTGCTGACAGTAGGATGGCCAGCTGGTTCCCTTCAGGGATGGCTGTCCCCACCCCCCGCTCCCCACCCCCCACCCCGGGGCTGTAACCCGAGCCGTCTCAGCGCCTCCCCTGGCTATCCGCGCTCCTGCAGGTCCCGCAGCCCCGACAGTGAGTCGGAGTCCGGAGAGCCATGGCCCGCGGGCCCTGCGTCTCCTGGGCGTCCTGGGGCACCCGCGCGCCGGCCGGCCGGCTGGGGGCCCTGCTGGGCGCCCTGTGCCTGCTGCCTGTCCTGGCGCTGCTGGCCCGGCTGGGGGCCCCCGCCGCCTGGCCCTCCGGGAGCGCAGCGCAGGTGAGTCCGCCCCCGCCCGCGCGCCGGGGCAGGAGTCCGAGTGTCCGCAAGCCCTGACGTCTGGCGGGATTGGGGTGGGGGGGAGGGGCAGCCTCTGGCCCCCGATTCCACCCACTCCGCCCTGGCTTATCTTTAGTGACCCTTTTGCTTTCTGGCTGTAAAAGTGACACTCGCCGGCTTGAGGTAGAAAACCAGAAAATGCAGAAAAACCAAAAGTGGAAGTCAGTGCGCCCCCACCCGCCAGCTTCCAGTCGGGTCTCCCGGTGTTTGTGAATGGGGCAGCCCCGCTGCCTCCCCAGAGCGCTTGCTTCCGTTGAAGGGAGAGGCCACGCCCCGCCCCGCGGGGGTCCCCACTACCCCAGGGCCCGGCCCGCTGCCCCACCAGGCACCCCGCAGGCGCCGGTACACACTGACCCCGGCCAGGCTGCGCTGGGACCACTTCAACCTCACATACAGGTGCGACTCTCGCCCTGGGGGGAGGCCGGGAGCCGCCTGGACGCCCCCGCTGACCTTGAGCCTCCACCCCAGGATCTTATCCTTCCCGCGGAACCTGCTGAGCCCCAGGGAGACCCGGCAGGGCCTGGCCGCCGCCTTCCGCATGTGGAGTGAGGTGTCCCCGTTCAGCTTCCGCGAGGTGGCCGCCGAGCAGCCCAGCGACCTCCGAATAGGTGGGTCCAGCGCCCCCGGGGCCCCCGCCCGCCGCCAGGACCCCTCTCAGCCCTGTGTTCCCCCAGGCTTCTACGCGGTCAACCACACAGACTGCCTGGTGTCCGCGCTACACCACTGCTTCGACGGCCCCACGGGCGAACTGGCCCACGCCTTCTTCCCCCCGCACGGCGGCATCCACTTTGACGACAGCGAGTACTGGGTCCTGGGCCCCACGCGCTACAGCTGGAAGAAAGGTGGGCTGGGGCGGGCCGCGATGGGGGGGTCACCCGGGCCGGGAGAGGGAGGCTGCGAGGAGGCCACGGGAAGCCCGAAGCCCCCAGCCCCCAACCCCCATGACGCTGGAGAGGAACGAGGCCGCATTCCTGGGAGCAGAGCTCACCGCCGCGGCCAGCCTGGAACGTTCTCGTCTGCCCGCGGCCGCAGCCCTGCCGGCGAGCAGCCGCGGGGAGCCAGGCCGGGGGGCGGGCGGACCGGCCCCGCGCGCTGACCGGCGGGGCCCGCAGGAGTGTGGCTCACCGACCTGGTGCACGTGGCGGCCCACGAGATCGGCCACGCGCTGGGCCTGATGCACTCGCAGCACGGCCGCGCGCTCATGCACCTCAACGCCACGCTGCGCGGCTGGAAGGCGCTGTCGCAGGACGAGCTGTGGGGGCTGCACCGGCTCTACGGTGGGTCCCTGCGGCGGGCGCGCGCGCACGGGCGGGCGGGCGGGCCTGGGGCCGGGCGGGCTCTGAGGTCCGTCCGCCCTCCGGCAGGCTGCCTGGACCGGCTGTTCGTGTGCTCGTCTTGGGCGCGGAGGGGCTTTTGCGACGCCCGCCGCCGGCTCATGAAGAGGCTGTGCCCGAGCAGCTGCGACTTCTGCTACGGTGCACGCGGGTGCGCGGGAGGGGGGCGGGCGGAGTGGGAAGGGGCGGGGCGCTGACGTGGCCCCTCCCTCCACCCCCGCAGAGTTCCCCTTTCCCACGGTGGCCGCCACCGCGCCGCCCCCCAGGACCAAAACCCGCCTGGTGCCCGAGGGCAGGAACGTGACCTTCCGCTGCGGCCAGAAGATCCTGCACAAGAAAGGCAAAGTGCAGTGAGTGACCGGCCGCGACGGCGAGCGGGGCGGCGGGGGCGGCGGGGCCCGGGCCCTGCCCAGCGCTCGCCTCCGCCTCCGCCTCCGCCTCCCGCAGCTGGTACAAGGACCAGGAGCCGCTCGAGTTCTCCTACCCCGGCTACCTGGCGCTGGGCGAGGCGCACCTGAGCATCATCGCCAACGCCATCAACGAGGGCACCTACACGTGCGTGGTGCGCCGGCGGCAGCGCGTGCTCAGCACCTACTCCTGGCGAGTGCGCGTGCGCAGCTGAGCGCGCCGCGGGCCGCCCATAAAGCGCTTTCTCTCTCACGTCTGCGCGCCCTTTCTTGGGTCTGGGGGTGGTGCGGGGGGCACCTAACCTGCGCCCCCCCGGGTGTGGGGAGCCTGACGCCAGGACGTCCCAAGTGCCCGGCACTGCCCCTCGGGGTGAGGACGGCTCTCAGACCGAGTGGCCTTTCCCGGCCCCTCGGGTCCCGGCGCCACGGGTTCGCTCACGGCCGAGGGAGGCGGGGGGGCTGGGCTGGGGAGGGTGGGCCCCGGGACGGGGTGGACGGAGCGGACGGCGCAGAGCTGGGGGTCGGGCCCATGCAAGGGACCAGCTCGCCTCTGCCTGAGCCGCCCAGTCGGGCTGGAGCAGGAGCTGAGGCCCGCCGGCCGGCCGCCCCACGTGGCGCGGAGGCCACACCTGGTTCTGTGCGTGGGGCCCGAGGAGCCCTGACCACGCCCAGGGAGGGCGGGGGAAGGACGCGCCGAGCTTCCGAGTCCATCTCCGCGGCGGCACAGCCTCGACGCCCGCAGCTGAGCTCACACACCCAGCTCTGGGGCCTGGGGCGGCCGGAGGTGCCCGGGTGCAAGCCCCCTCCCACTGCTGCGAACCACCGCCGCTCCCCGAGCCCTCCGGAGGGCGCGGTGGCGGAGGCTGCACAGGCTGACGTCCCGCCTCTTGGGGCGGGCCTGAAAAAACACAGCTTTTTCTTCCACAAAGAAATAAGATTTAATTCTACAAATTTACAAGCCAAGATAAAATACAAACAAAACGTGGAAAACACGACCAGCAGTCCGAGACTCGAGTCACTATTCACAGCAGCGGGGGCAGCAGCTGCGTCCGGTTGGACATGGGCCCTGGCGGCGCCTCCAGCTCCCCCCGCCCTGGTCCCCGCAGAGCCGGGGTCCCCGGGGTCCCTGGGGTCCCCGGGGTCGGTGCAAGGCCCACGAGGAGTTCAGAACTTGAGGCTGAAGCCGGGGCCGGCCGCCGAGGCCCCCTGGTTGGTGGTGGTGAGGTGGAAGCCGGTCTCCTTCAGGTCGTCGTCGCCCTGGGAAGCAAGCAGTATCGTGGGGCCCGGCCGGGCCGGCCCCACCCCAGGGCCCCCCAGCCCGCCCCCCGGCGCCGGCCGGGCCCTCACCAGCTGGCTGTAGCCCAGGCCCCCCTCAGGGGGCCGCGGGCTGGTGCCGCGCTTCACCCTCTGCTGCTCGCTCTTGGCGGGCCACGTGGGGAACATGGAGGGTTCGATGGGGAGGGGGGTCTCCCGGAAGTACTCGTGCTTG